CCTCCTCCCTGACCCTCAACTGGTGGTAACCCGATCTCAAGTCTATCTTAGAGAAACAACGGGAACCCTTCAACTGGTCAAACAAATCATCTATACGGGGCATAGGGTACTTATTCTTAACCGTAGCCCGATTCAACTTTCGGTAGTCGATAAACAATCTCAAGGCACCATCTTTTTTTTTTAACAAAGAGGGTCGATGCTCCCCACGGCGAAACACTAGGGCGAACAAAACCCTTATCTAGCAATTCCTGGAGCTGAATCTTCAACTCACTCAACTCGGCTGGGGCAAAACAATAAGGTGCCATAGAAATCAGCGCTGTGCCAGGCACTAAATCAATAGAGAACTCTATCTCTCGATGAGGTGGCAAACTAACGAGATCCTCAGGAAAAACATTCGAATACTCACAAACCACCCTCGACAATACTATATGGGTCTCATCACACTCACCACTCATAAAGCTAGCAAGTAGACCACTAAGTTTATTCTGCCCTCGCGGATCATACATCGGTGGCAACACACTACCAACCCGATCCCCCAAGAAATGGAAACACTCCCTGCTCAAGGTACATACTGTGACCCTCTGGCGGTAGCAATCAATAACAGCCCGGTATGATGATAGCCAGTCCATACCCAAAATAACATCAAAACCTTTCATGGGCATGACAACAAAAGGAAAAGGAAGCCTATGGTCGGCGACCTCTATATCACAACCTCTACATCCATGTTTCAAAATCAATTCACCCCCAACAGGTGATACAACACAAATAGGAGATGCTAACAGTGCGAACTCCAACTCCAACACAGATGCGAATGCAGCAGATACAAAAGAATGAGATGCACCCGTATCAATCAATACACTAGCAACCGAGTTGCAAAACAGAAAGGTACCTCTCACTACTGATGGAGCCGGTACTAGGTCCTGTGCGGTAACAGCATACATGCACCCAGTAGGCCCCTGATCCACCTGCTCACCTCTAGGAGCAAAAGACTGCTGCACTGACTAGGATAACGAAGCTCCCGGATTGGCCCTCGAGGCCTGCACAGACTGAGCTGGCTGATAACTCTGCGTCTGCCTAGAACCAGACGCTCCTGAAGTGGCAGTCAACTGTGGGCAATACCTCTTCAGGTGCCCAGGCTGACCACACTGATAGCAAGACAAAGGCTAGCCCCTGCCCTGACTCTGGCCCTGAGGTCTAGCTGAAAAAGAAGCAGCTCGCTGACACCCTCCCTTCTGCGGGCAAACCGAAGACTTATAACCCAGCTAGCCACACGTAAAACAAGTCAAGCCTCCCTGACTACCTCTCCCAGAGCCCACACTTGGCACTGGAAAGGTCAATGTAGCCAAACCACCCTGAGACTGCTGAGGGTTAGAACCCCTCTGTCACTTGCCGTTACTCTGACCATCTTGGCTCCTCTTGGAGCCTCTCTGCCGTTTATCCTCCTCCTGCATCATAATCTCCATATGAGCTGCAACATCAACCAAACGTCTGTATTCTCGGATAAAGGACCCTCCAACTCTCAGTTTGAGTCCACGCCTCAACTTCCGCTCAAACTCGAAGCAACAACGTTCCTCGGATGCCACAAGTTCAGGTGCAAACCTGGACAGACTAGTAAAAGTAGCCTCAAACTCGGCCACTGACAGGCCCTGCTGTTTAAGCTGGCAAAACTGCTCCCTCAGCTTCTCCCTAGCAGCTAAAGATAAAAACTTCTCCTGGAAGGTATTCACAAAAGCCTTCCATGCACACCCAACTCTGCCCTTCTCGTATTTCCACCATTGACCCGCATCTCCCTTCAGTTGGAAGGATGCCAAGGTCACCTTTAAAGCCCCGTCCTCGATGCCAAGCATCTCGAACGTCTTCTCCATCTGTTCCAACCACTCGTCAGCCTTAAGTGGCTCCTTCGGATCCCCAACAAACTCGTCCGGATTGGACCGGAAGAATTCCCTCTTCAAGAAGGAAGGCCGTGCCTCAGCTGCGTGGGCCTGTTCCTGATTCCCTGCTCTGAGAATACCCAAAGCTCCTGCTATCCCTCGGGCCAAGGCACTCATAGCCTGCTGACCCGCTGGCTCGGCCACATTGGCCTGACTAACTCCCTCCTACTGTGCCGGAATATCATCTGGTAAAGGCATCTCCTGCCTACCACGCCTACCACGTCCTCGTCCTGACATCCTAATAAAGGTGACCAAGACTATTAGCACATTCACAAATGTGCCGAAGCTATAACACTCACGTCCTAATGCATGGACAACTGCAATTCACTCCACGTAAGCACATAATCACATAAGCAATTACGAATTTCATTTCTGGATAATGATAGTCCCGAGGCGTTAATAGAGTTCCGGTTAGAAACAGCATTGATCAAGTGCTTTTCCAACAAGACTCCCAGAAACCCAAGGATCCAATCAACATCCTAGAAACTACATTCCATACCCACATAGTCACATAAACATGTTATCATATAAGCACATAACACTACATCTAAGTCCCTATCAAGCGAGACAAACCCATTGTGATCCTAATCACTAACCCATCACTTTAGACATGCATTGATATTAAAGAAACCAACCATTTCTATTCATCAGAGTAATTCTTACAACTGTATTACATATTAACAACAAAAGCAAATGCCCTATGGGCTTACAGCTTTCCAAATCAACACCTGGTTACACAAAAGAAGAGTGCTAACTCTATACAAAATAAGCCCTTGGCTTGATATACATGTAATACAAACAAAATAAACAAAAAGAGTCTTCAACTCTCATCATCATCCAAGCTATGTCCTTGGAGGTAGCATACTACCTGTACCTGAAAATAATGTCCCATAAAGGGTGAGCCTACGCCCAGTAGGGATATGCTAAACACAGTATGAGCAATAACTAAGACATTAGCAATTGATAAACGTTCAATTTCCATAAACCAATTCATAACCCATTTCTATTTCATGACCACTATGTTCAAGTTTCATTTCAGTTTCCATTTCTTATCAATTTCACAATTTACATCAACGGCTCAGAACCTGGCCAACCACTTATATGAGACAGTGACTCATATTAAATGTTTCCATTTTACAATAGATAAGCATACTAGTGGTATCAACATCTCAACAGATAAGCATACAAGCTGTATCCACATTTCAACAGATAAGCATATGTGTTGTATCAACACTTCCATAGATAAGCATATAAGCTATATCAACACGTTAACTGACAAGCATATGAGCTGTATCAGTGGAGTCCATCCCCTATCTCCTCCCAAATAACATCCGGTTTAGAGGTCCATCCCCTATCTTCCCCTAAACCGTAGAGTACATCTCCTATCTCCTCCCAAACAATATCCGATTTAGAGGTCCATCCCCTATCTTCCCCTAAACCGTGGAGTACATCCCCTATCTCCTCCCACACACACAACGTATATATACACATAGGTCATATACACAATCAATCAATATATAACGTTGATGTATTCTATCAACCGTCATACTCTATGACATATCCAGTTGATTAGTTTTAGTTTGCCTAATCATCATGCATTGTCTACAACAATCAAAACTACCCTCCACCGGTAGCCCAAGCAATTATTTCTAAATAGATAATAAAAGCTCTAATAGATAAAATATCAATGTTTTCAAAAGTGAGCGATTAATAAATCCAACTCCACTATTCTACTATATAATGAGTCAATTTCATTATTTCCAACTCAATTCCATATAACCACAATTTTCCCAAATTAATCATACCAATTAATTTATACAACCAATTAGGGTTTTCTACCCCATTTCTCAATATTGACCCAATGGTCTATATATCAACAACCAACAACAATATCATTGTTTTGAAACCCACAATACACATTTTAGAATCAAAATAACAAAACCCTCTTTTAACATTTTGAAACCCTAAGTCTCAAAATTACCCAACTTCAACACTTTATCAAACAACCAAAATCTATGTCAAAGACCATAAGAGTGAGTAGGAATCCCTACCTCAAAAGATGACACCCAACGAAGAAGATGAAGAAACTCAACGTGCTCCAAAACTCAATTTTCTCGGATCAAAATGTAGCCATCGACGATCAACCCAACTTTTACAAAGGCCAAAGGTGAGCAAACAACTCCTACTAGATCAATACTTAGAGAGAAGTTTGAGTTTTAGAGAGAGGTGTTCTCTAATGGCTTTTTCGGAAAAGTAAGAGAGAGAGAGAATGAGAGAAACTGATTTAAAAATGCCCTACAGCCAACTGATATACGACATTCCCGCTCGAGCGGAAAACACAACGCTCGAGCGTCAAGAACAAAAAACTAGGTACCAACACAACGCTCGAGCGTCAAGAACAAAAACTAGGTCCGCTCGAGCGCAAGAAAGCCCGCTCGAGCGCCAAGACACAAGAATAAAGTACATCTGCTCGATCGTGAAAACCAGTTCGCTCGAGCGTAGATTTTCATCTCCCAGAACTTTTTAGAAAAAGAACTACCCGCTCGAGCGTGACCCGCTCGAGCGTAGAAAACACACCTGCAGAAGTTTTTGCAGGGACACGAAATACTGGAAGGGTGTAAACCACGCTCGAGCATAGAATGACCCGCTCGAGCGAACTAGACAAAAATTGGGCAACAACAATGGGAGTCAAAGCTCTACCACCTGTAACAACCAAGCCCAACACAACCTATAACTCAAACAAATGGAATCAAAGAACGACAACAAGGTAGATACAACTACTAGCTCCACGGAACCAAAGTCCAGAATACAACAGATACACAAAGGGAAAACCGGGATCGCTATAACCACTATATGTATCAAAGATATGATGAATATGTATTCTGCTACTCTTTAAAACTTATATACATAGAAGAAAAAAAAATGGTCTGCGACTATCTCAAAAAATCATACGAAAGGAAACACAAATTAAGATTTTTTTTTGTTTTTGTTGATGTGGCACATACCCAAAGACATGAAAACTCCTATTATTATCCTAAGATATGATAAAGATCTTCCTCAAATATTTACCTACAGTCACCAAAAATAGAAGAAGCCTCTTCAATAAATTGATGAAGCTTATGAGGAGGAACATAGAATATCTGTGTTGCTACTTCCTTTGCAGATACAATCAACCTCTCCTTCCTTGATCCGGCATGTTTGGGCAGAAATCCAACTACAGACAACCAACAATACATATGATATTAGCTACTACCCTACCACTATCACCAAATTGTTGCCAACACTAAGGGTGTCGAATTCATGAGCAACTTACCAAATGTAAACTCGTCAGTAGCCAACCCTGAGGCAGAAAGTGCAGCAACAAAAGTAGAAGGACCAGGGATAGGAATAGCAGGAATATTTTCATCCACACATAACTTAACCTACATAAAGTTTCCAAAATACATTGTTTATGTCCATATCAATTAATTAACCCATGAAGCATCCAATTATACTGTCATCTCGACTAAAATCTGAGTTCCTTTCAAACCTTTAGAGGACACATTACAAATTAAAGTTAGCAATATTTTTGAATTTACAATTTTAAGGTCATATTATTGCAAAAAGATTATTTAAAAAACTATTAGAATGAAAATTGTGATTGTTTATGGGATCCTACATCTTAAGAGATTTGGTTTATTCAAAAGGAGCATTGCATGCTTTCAATCTATGTGAACTAGAGAAAATACCAAATTGATTGTCAGTTATCACAATATAAAATTTAGTAAACCAAAATAAAAGAAGAAAATAAATTAAAGTGTACGAGTGTGTGGAAATTACAAACAGTTGTCTTCCCCTGCTATATTTGTGCGCTATATTAGCAGACTTGGGTGACCAAATCAGTCGAACAATCAAATATAACCATAAAAAATAAAAATAAAAAATTACATCAACAAAGAGTGTAGGATTAATGTGTGCGGGAATGAAGTGTGGTAAAGTCCATGATAGCATATGGAGGTGTATATATATGCTCTAATACTGTGATGTAAACCTTACAAGCTAACAATAAGGATTCAAATGTAATGCAGTCAAGTAGAGATTGACATGACAGCCGTCATTTTTCCAAAGGAGAACATTCAGTTCTTCTCATCACAAACAAACAGAAAATTATAACATGCTCAGCAATTCCATACCAGGATCACTTATGCCTGGTGTTCCTGCATCATAGATTTGGGCCACAATTTCACCTGTTGCAATCTCTTCAGAACTGCTTGTTCTCTTTGAGACTCATTGAATTTATGATAACTTAGCTGAAAATCTAAAGCTTACCATTAGAAAGAGAATAAGAATGCCAAATATCAGTTAGCGTTATCAAACAAAATCGATAAACCTATTCCCAGTTCAATTCCTTCCTAGATCTAGTTCAAGAACCTGGAATCCCTTAGGGTTCTCTAATTTTAGATTCAAGAAATTTTTTTTTTAATTTTTTATTTTATACAATCACGACTAAGTTAAAGGATCCTAATTTTTGTAACAGAACAACAATTGTTTTAGATTAACAAATTTTTTTAAAAAAAAATTTGTGTTCAACCCATTAAAGAACCCAATTTCACAATACGCAATTGACATTGAACATATTTTTCCCAACTCAGATTCAAGAAGTATATAAAAAAAAGAATAAATTCACAATCTAAAACAATACAGTCGCATGCTTTCAAAATTAATTCAAGAACCTAGAGTTCCTTAAGGTTCTCTAATTTTACATAATTTTGGAGTTGCTCAATCAAAACCTTGATTTTTCAGTGAAAATCCCCAAATCAAAACCCTAGTTTGAACCTACAAACCTGATTGAATGGTGGAAGTGTTCTTCTTCGCGTGCGTTCGTCTCTTCTGTCTCCTCTCAGCTGTCTTCTCCCTCCATCGTTACTTCTCTTTCTTCGTTCTTTTCTTCTAGCTCAGAGCTCCGTCTGTGTGTATTTTCTTTGTCCATCTTCTCCTTCTCACTTGTTGTTATGCCGATTGGGGTTTGGGTTTGGGATTTGGGGTCTGATAAAGAGAGAGAGTGAGGGTTTTGAAGAGTTTTTGCAAAGAGATGAAAAAAAAGAGAGAGGGGGGTTTGGGATTTGGGGTCTGATGGAGAGAGAGGGTAGGGGTTTGAAGAGTTTTTGCAGAGACATGAGGGTTCGAACCCTCTCTCTTCTCCCTCTCTTCTAGTTTTATCCGATTATAGCTTTCTAACTTCCTTAACCCAATTAGAAGCCAAACAATTTGATAAAAAAAAAAAAAAATTCTAATATATTTTTGGTCATTGGCGCCACATGTATCTCATTTTGGCACTTTTTTAATTTTCAGTTGTACCATTCACGGCATAAATTATGTGTCGTAAAAATATAATATTTTAAACGGTTAGCATTTTGTGTGTCATAAAAAGTATAATTTTTAACGATTGAATTTTTGTGTGTTGTGGAATATTCAATATTTTTAATGGCTGCTGTATGCATGCCGTTTATAGTTAATGTATTAACGGCATGCCATATGTATGTCACAAAAATGTTTTATTATTTACGGTTAACATTGCAAGCCGTAAAAAAATCATCGTTATTAGCATTCACGACTTACGCAATAGACATGTCATGGTTGGGAAATTATTTACGACATGCAAAAAAAGCAAGTCATAAAAGTGAGAAACCACAGCTTACATTTACTGTATGTCGTTGATGTGAAGTCGTAAAAATCCAATTTTGTTGTAGTGACAAAAAAAAAAGATGGAATTTTAAAAGGGAAATGTCCTCCGCCGATCAGCAGATCACCCCAAAAAAATAAATAAAATAAAATAAAATATTCAAAACAATTTTTAGATTTGTTTTTTTTAAAAAAAATTAAAAATAATTTCAGAGCAATAAAAATCAAAATTATATTTTTAAAATTTTAAAAAGTATTAATGACCTAAAAGATTTTAAAAAAATCAAAAAAAAAATTTAGATTTGTTTTTTTTTGAAAAAATTAAAAATAATTTGAAAGCAATAAAAATCAAAATTATATTTTTAAAATTTTAAAAAGTATTTATGACCTAAAAGATAAAAATATACAAAAATAATAAGTTTTTTTTTTCACCCAATTTTTTTTTTAGTTTTTTAGGAAAAAAAATTTGAAACTAGTTTCTGAAAATAAAAACAAACATATTGAAATTGATAATCTAACCATATTCTTTGAAAAAGTTTAAATTATCTCAAATTAGTCATCTCCACTTAAGAGTGTGTTTGGGCTCAATGGGTTCATTTTGTGATCTAATTCAATGATCATTTTAATTTTACAATTCAGTAACTAAAATATTTAAAACTCTTTCAAAAATTATAATCAAAAACACAAATCACTAAATCACATCATTCCACTAGCAAAACTTTTACCAACGAATAGTGTCATCGTCGCTAAATGGTTAACTCTTTGCCCACGCCAACTTGTCGTCGCCAAAAGTAAGCAAACTAATAGCAACACTCATTGTGTTGCTAAAACATAAGCCTCGTAGGTAAAAGTTTTGAAATTTTGGCGCCAACCAAAAAATTTGGCGCTAAAATAATGTTATGCCATTTTAGCGACAGCAACAAATTACGTCGGTAAAGATATACTTTTACCAACGACATTGATCACTGTGTCGCCAAAAATATACTTTTGGCCATGAAAAATTGACGTCGTTGCCAAAAGTAGTCGCCAAAAGTGCAATTTCTTGTAGTGAAATTTGTTGTAAATTTTCAAGTGTCTATTGTTAAACATTATATTCTACTTGCTTGCTTTGGGAGTTTGGAGTTTTGATCTTTGATCTTTACTTCACATTCATCGTATTGTTTTATTTATTTATTTTCTTCTTGCTTGATTTTGATATGATATTCTTTCATAGTGCATCTCCGAGTGCATTAGTGAAAACATCATATACTTAAAATACACAAAATTACAATATATAGAAAAAATAGAAAAAAAAGAAGAAGAAGTAAGCGATTGCCCAAAACTAAAACTACTTTAGGAAAAAAATAAAAAATAAAAACAAAAATAAAATTGTTTGAAATAGAAAATGATTTATTTATTTATTTATTTATTTATTTATTTTAAAAAATAAACTTTTAAAGAAAACAAAGAAAACTATATTAAAAAAAAAATACAGAAACCAAACATAAAATATAACACAAAAACTAAATGAATTATAGGATTTTCAAGAAGTCTTACTTGATTTACACATGATACTTCTTTCATAGTACATCTCTAAGTGTATTGGTGAAAATATCATACACTTAAAATGCACAAAATTACGATATATAGAAAGAAAAAAAAAAGTAAGTAATTGTCCAAAACTAAAACTACTTTAAGAAAAAATAAAAACAAAAATGAAATTGTTTGAAATAGAAAATGATTTATTCATTTATTTATTAATTTTTTAAAAATAAAGCTTTAAAGAAAACAAAGAAAACTATAGAAAAAAAAAAGTATAAAAACCAAACATAAAATATAATACAAAAAATAAATGAATTATAGGGTTTACAAGAAGTAATATTCACAAACAAATTTTGTAAAATCTTGTCTATTCATATACTTTTTGTGTATGTTTTTTGTACTTCTAATCCCGATAATGACATTGAAATAGTCTGCATTTCTTGCATTAGATCCATCTAATAGCTTTGGCGAACACAAATGTAATAAATTTCATAATAAAAAACACAAATAATTGTGAGACAAAGTATCTAAAAAAAGAAAGGAACGTTCAATGATGATGTAGAAGCACACCTGACGTTTTAATTGGAGGTATAACTAGATAAATCGTTGTAGAAGGGGAAGACAACCTTTATTTTTCATTACAACAATTATATAACTCAATATATAATTTTAATGTCTCTCATTCTTCCTCATGCTCAATTCTCTATCAATATTAGAATAAATGTACGAACCCAAAAAAAAAGGACATTTGAGAAGATAAAGAGATGTAATTTAAGACATTTCAATTGTTGAATTCTATTAATTAATAGTTGTTAGGTTTCAATGGCTGGGCTTCTAATATTTGTTAGCCATTAAAGCTGAGTTCTTTGGTTTCATCTATATTCACTTGATAATTTGAGAGTGGACACGTATCAAGCTTTTACACAAACACTTAGCACATTTTTTTAGCATTATTAATGAAATGCACAGTGTAATTTTTTTTTCTTTTTTTTTTCGCAATGGCAACCTATTATTTTTTAATAAGAATGTATATTTGTTTTAGATATTTTTTAAATATCCAAAGTATTTTTTTTAAGATTTTTTGTAAAAAATAATTTAACAATCTCATCACTAACCATACTGTATGGGAGAAGTTAAAAAGGGTGCAACAGTAAATATGAGAGAAGTAAAAAAGACTTGTGGGTTGGGAGAAATCAATAAATGTTGAGTTTTTTTTTTTTTTTTTTAATCAAAAAATTAGAAAATCAAGATTAGGATATTGAAGCTCCCGCAAGGCTTGTGAGTTAGAAATCCCATTTTCCTTATATAGTACTAGCATAATTACCCGTGCTATGCACAGGTATAAATAAATAATGAAAAATTAATTTTTAAAATTAAATAATAATCTAAAAAAAATCTCTACAATATATAGCAAAAATAATTTAGAATTAATTAAATTTTATTCATTTTTATCATAGTTACATATAAGAGAATTTTTTTTTATTCTTATGTCATTAATTGTGTGTTCTAAGTTCTTAATAACAAATATATGTCATAATTTAAGAGGTAAAAATTAAAAAATAAATCACAAAAAATATATTTATGATAAAATATAAATACATTTCATCTTATGAGTTTCGTAAATTTAATTTATCATATGATAGTGGTAAATTACATTTGTCAATATAGTAATTTTTTCATGTTTTGTGAAGTTTAAAAATTATAATTTATCTTATGTTATAAGATTTACGTAATAATGAATTAAGATTCACTTGTGATATTAAATTTTGGTTTAAAATTAGATTTACGCTAACTTGTCATTCACCTAATCATTAAAAATTGTTTTGTTTTGTTTTGTTCCTAACTTAAATGAATTATTTGACCTATCTTGTAACACCCTCAAAATAAACCCATAAATCATACATTCATGACATCCATGAACTTAAGAGAATAAAGCATAATTCTATTTATCAGAGTATTCATTACAAAAGTATTACATGTTGACATCAAAAGTAAATGCCCTATAGGCTTACAACTTTTCAAGTCAACACTTGGTTCAACAAAAAAATAGAGTTCTAATTCTTTACACAAAATAAGCCCTTGGCTTGATATACATGTAATACACAAAATAATCACCAAAAGGAAGCCTTCAGCTTCCACAACCTCCCAAGCTACGTCCTTGGAAGTGGCATATCACCTGCACCTGAAAATAATGTCCCATATAGGGTGAGCCAACGCCCAGCAGAGATATGCTAAACATAATATGAGCAATAACTAAAACATAAGCATTCGATAAATGTTAACACTGGTTAACCAACTTTCAATACAATCCAATTCCATGACAAATATGTTCATGTTTCATTTTACTTTCCTTTACTTAACCAATTTTCAATTCATAAACATGGCTCAGAACCTGGCCAAACAATTAAATGAGATTACAAGCCATAACAACAATACTTCCATTTCAGATGAGATAACAACTCATATCAAAACACTTCCATACTTCGCAATAGATACACATATTTGCTTTATCAATATCATATTAAAACACTTCCATACTTCACAATAGATACACATTTTTGTGCTGTATCAATGGAGTCCATCCCCTATCTCCTCCCAAATAATATCTGGTTTAAGACTCTATCCCCTATCTCCTCCCAAACCGTGGAGTACATCCCCTATCTCCTCTCGCACAATACAATGTATATAAACAATTATCATATGCATGATCAATCAATAAACATATTTGATGTATTATTCCAATCGTC